TTTATCCAACAGTGTGTCCTGAAGATGTTCACAGCAGTGCTGTTTATAATCATAAAAGACTGGAGGCAACATAAATGTCTGTGAGTAAGGAACTGGCCAAATAAATGACAGCAAATCCAAACCAAAAAAACAAAACCAAGCCCACTGCCATTGAGACAGTTCTGACTCAGCGACCCCATTGAGTTTCCAAGGCAGTACATCATGATGGAAATTATTGCCTTATCTTCCTTCTGCAGAGCACCTAGTGGGTTTGAACCACCAACCTTCTGGTTAGCAATCAAATGCTTTAGGTGTTGCACCACCAGAACTCTCAAAAGCCAAACTCCATGCCCTCGACTCGAATCCAATTCATTGCAACCCTTCCCTGGGTTTCTGAGGCAGTATCTCTATGGAAGTAGGTTGTCCAGTCTTCCTTCCAAGGAGTGGCTGGTGGGTTTGAACCGCCAGCCTTCTGGTTAGCAGTCAAATGGCTTAGGTACTACACCACCAGAGCTCCTTACAAATTCATACAGTGACACAAATGAAGATACTAAAAAGAGTGACACAATTGTCACTGTATTAAAATGGAACAATCTCCAAGGTATCTGTTAAATTTTTAGTTCAGAATACCATGTATTTTTTTTTCAAGTGAGAGGGAGCGTTTTATACATGTACTGGAAATACATGTTTTATGCATGTACACGTTTACGTATGCCTAAAGTATCTCTAGAAGGAGGGAAAAAAAACAAAACTGTTGTCTTTGAAGAGGGGCGTGGCTGGATATCAGGAATAGGAGGGAAACTTATTTTCCACGTTATATCTTTTTGTGTCTCTTGCATTTTTATCCTGTACTTCCCCCATCCAGATAAGTTATTATTATTTATAGCATGTCCAATCCTGAGTAGTCCCCTTGGGAGGCTAACCCTTCTGCAGCGATGCTGCCCAGCTCACAGCATGTTTTAGAGGCTCCTCTTTCACCGGCCTTCCAAGCCTGGGCTGTTGTTTTGTTGTCCTCCATGGTAGCAAATCCAAGGGGTGGAACTGACTTTGGAAAGAGCCACCAGTGCTTCAGAGCCAAGTTGGGCAGATGTGCATTTTGACTAGAGAATACCAAAAAGCAAACCAAATGTACTGCCGTCGAGTCAGATCTGACTCATAGCGGTCCCTCCTTGGTTTTCACAGGCCGTATCACTATGGAAGTAGATTGCTCAACCTTCCTTCTGAGGTGTGGCTGGTGGGTTTGAACCTCCAGCCTTCTCATTAGCAGTCAAATGCCTTAGGAACTACGCCACCAGAGCTCCTTGACTAGAGAATAAATGGCATTATTTATGGGTTGTTTTTTTCTGCCTCACTTTACCAAAGAACTAGCTTTGGGCTGGTCTGAAGGCCATTTTCCTCATGCGGTCTGGGGACCATTTACAGAAAAAAACAAGAAAACCACACTTGCTATCATCGAGTTGATTCTGACTCTTAGCAACCGCCATTGGGTTTCCAAGGCAGCAAATCTTTATGGAAGTGATTGCCCTATTTTCCTTTTGTGGAGTAGCTGGTAAGTTTGAACCACCAACCTTCTGGTTAGCAGTCAAATGCCTTCCGCGTTGCAGCAGTATACAGTGTCCTAAAGTTGATCAGTCAGGATTCTTTTGGCTGCAAATGATAGAAACCTAACACACAGGGCCTTAAGGGGAATAAAAGGGAGAGTTTTTGGTCCCAAAGCTGGGAAGAATACTGGGGAGCTCACAGAATCAAAGGAAGAGCTGCAGGAACTGGGGCCCTGGGCTGGAACTGAGGACTTCCTGCTCTGGTATTCTCCTCACCAGGTATCTCTGCTTCTCCTTGTATGTTGACCTCTCTTTCTTCCTACTACAAAAAGGCCTCCCCAACTATGGCCCCTAGCTACCCTTCAGGTGTGGAATTTAACTCACTCTGTGGCTTCCAGCCAAATAATAGACAGACATATGGGCTGAACATTTAAATCAGGTAGATATACTACTAGGAGCTCTGGTAGCATAGTGGCTACGGCACTTGACTGCTAACCAGAAGGCTGGCAGTTCAAACCCACCAGCCACTCCTCGGAAGGAAGATGGGGCAATCTACTTCCGTAATGATACTGCCTCGGAAACCCAAGGAGGGGTCGCTATGAGTCGGGTCCGACTCGACGGCAAACAACAACAACAACAACAGTGCCTAAGGCACTTGACTGCTAACCAGAAGGCTGGAGATTCAAACCCACCAGCCACTCCTCGGAAGGAAGATGGGGCAATCTACTTCTGTAGTGATACTGCCTCGGAAACCCAAGGACGGGTTGCTGTGAGTCGGGTCTGACTCGACGGCACATAACAACAACAACAAAGAGGTAACTATGGAGAGGAAGTGGGAAGAGAGCTGTTAAATTGTGGAGAATTACAGTCAATGTCATGAGACAAAATGTGTATGAACTGCTGTATGGAAAATGAATTTGCTCTGTAAACTTTCACCCAAATCACAATAAAAATTTTTTTTTAAAAAAAAGGCCTCCCCAGGGGGCAGGATACCTGGCTGATGGTGGCTCAGGTTTAGTACTCCCGATTCCATCTACCTGTTCCAGGGAAGGTGTCTGATTGGCCCTGCTCAGGCCCAGACCCACAAGCCAATCACTGCAGTCAGGGGGATGCAGTAATAAGACTGGCCTGGATCTGAGTCACTTGGCCACTACTGTTGGGGGAGGAAAGGGGTGCAGCATTTGTTCCCAAAATAAAGAGATGAGAAAGAAAGCTTTCAGACGACTTTGAACGGCAGTGACAGTGCTGCCTGGGATGTGTTAAGGATCCACGTGGCCTCCAAAATCCTCCAGGACCATACAGTCTAGTTTGGGAGATGAGACACAGAAATAACCAGAACATAACAGCTTGCTTGAGCTTGCAGACTGGATAAGAATATCTGGAACTCCCCACCCACCTCATAAGCTTGTCTCATGGATAAAAATTAGATGCTTAATGTGAAAGGGCTTTAAAAAGACAACAGTAACGGTGCCCCTCACAGTTCATCTGCACATTCCTGTCCACCTCTGGAAGCAGAGCACTGGCCCTAGAGTCACACTGTCTCAGCTTCCTCAGCTACAAAGGTGGGAAGGACATTAGTTCTTACCTCACAGGGTTCTGGAATTAGGGGCCATGGGTATAGGAAGTGCTTAGCAGGGTGGCACACAGTAGGTGCTCAATAACCAGTCATCAGATGCCATGGAGTTGATTCCAATTCATGGCGGCCCCATGTGTGTGTCAGACAACAACTGTGCTCCACGGGGTTTTTTCAATGGCCGGTTTTTCCAAAGTAGATTGCCAGGCCTTTTTTTTTTTTGAGGTGCCTCTGGGTGGAGTCTACTCTCCAAACTTTCCGTTAGTAGCCAAGTGTCTTAACCATGGGCACTAGCCAGGAACTCTAGGTGCTCAATGCATCAAGGGTACTGTTTTTGGTTGCATTATTATCACCTGAACCTTTTCAAGTCCCTGTAGGGTAGGCAGGGCAAGGCTGACCAGCTCTACTTAATAGATGAAGACACTGAGGCTCAGGGAAGTGAAGACTTGTCTGCCAGTAATTACCCTTGTTGGTGATTGCACAACTGGGGTAGGACCAGTTATGAGCTCCTAATCCAGTGCTCTGTTTCCAGGGTTTGCATTCCGAAAGAGTCAGGCCTAAGAGGGGCCTGTGGGGTGCCAGGTGGAGGTGCAGAGGCACAGCCAGTATTCCTGGAGAAGTGTGGGTGTCCTTAAGGGTCAGGGAATGCCTTGTACTGAGGAAGGGGCTACAGAGGGATGGCCATGCTCCTTGGGGGTCCTTGTCAGTTGGGGATTAAGAAGGTGAAAAGTGACTGGGCCCTGCCACCCCAAGCCTTCCATTGACCACTCTCCCACCCTTGCCTCCTCAGGTAGCTGGCCCCCACCCCCTGTTTGTGCTTCTCCTGTGTGCCTATTTTCCGGACCCGGGCATTCTCCTCTATAAATACCAACTCTGGTATTTCTGGTTGGCAGGTGTTGCTGCCAGGGAGATGGCTGGGTTGACATGTGGCTCCTGACAAAACACAAACCCCTGATGTGTGTGGGCGTGGGTGGTGTGAGTAGGGGTATGAATCAGAGAAGGGACTCAGAGGACACCCAAGGGGACAAGAGCCAGGAAGTTAGTGGTATGGGGGGGGAGTGTACATACAACCTGAAAACTGAGAGCATACCAGACCCTCCTTCTGGAAATCACTTTGCTGTTTATAAACTTGAAGCCTTGCCCCTCACCTGTATGTGTCTGTGTGTGTTTGGGGGCAGGGTACACCGTCCAGAGGGAAACTGAGGCTTAGAGCTGGAACCCAAGTACTAGTGACATGAGTGGGCAGGCAAAGCTGAGGTTCCTATTAAGCTCTGGGGGAGCATGGCCTCTGCCGCCCAGCCCCCTCTTACTCTCCCTGCCTAGAGACCCCTGCACACCAGGCCTTGCTGGTGGACCCCTGGTCTTTGCCTGAGCCCTCTCAAACCTCCACAACTTCCTGCCAGTCTTTAGAAGTAAAGTAATCTGGGGCCTCTCTTGGGAACAGGCCATGTGCCTTCAGAAAACGACTTGAAGTCTCTCCTTGGAGCAAAAATGGGACCCTCAAACTAACTAAATGGCAGACTCTGAGCAGGTTTTCCCCTGATCACTCTCAAGAAAAGGCAGGCACCAGAGGGTTGACAGGAGCCCCCTAGGGGTTCCAGTCCCACCCTGGTGAGGCGCTGGCAGGCAGGCTTGCCTACCTTTGGCTTTCCTCTCCAGCACACCCCTTACGGGGCCCCCACCCTCCGGGAGAGGGGCACAGGCCTCAGCAGAGGAACTGGCCTCCCCGCCCCCACGGTCAGCGGCCGCCCTTTCCTGGCAGGACAGCAGGATCCTGCAGCTGTCAGGGGAGGGGCGTGGGTGCTGATGTCAGGAGGGATACAAATAGTGCGGACGGCCGGGGCCCCTGTCTCCCCTCGCCGCAGCCACTCTCCGGCCGCCGCCCAGCCTCTCTGCCCGCCGCCACCATGAGCCAGGCCTACTCTTCCAGCCAGCGCGTGTCCTCCTCGTACCGCCGCACCTTCGGCGGTGCGCCCTCCTTCCCGCTCGGCTCCCCGCTGAGCTCGCCCGTGTTCCCGCGCGCGGGCTTTGGCTCCAAGGGCTCCTCGAGCTCCATGACGTCGCGCGTCTACCAGGTGTCGCGCACCTCGGGCGGCGCCGGGGGGCTGGGGGCGCTGCGGGCCAGCCGGGTGGGCGCCAGCCGCGTGCCCACCTCGTACGGCGCGGGCGAGCTGCTGGACTTCTCGCTGGCCGATGCCGTCAACCAAGAGTTCCTGACCACGCGCACCAACGAGAAGGTGGAGCTGCAGGAGCTCAATGACCGCTTCGCCAACTACATCGAGAAGGTGCGCTTCCTGGAGCAACAGAACGCGGCGCTCGCGGCCGAGGTGAACCGGCTCAAGGGCCGTGAGCCCACGCGCGTGGCCGAGCTCTACGAGGAGGAGCTGCGCGAGCTGCGGCGCCAGGTGGAGGTGCTCACCAACCAGCGCGCGCGAGTTGACGTCGAACGTGACAACCTCCTCGATGACCTGCAGCGGCTCAAGGCCAAGTGAGGGCAGGGCGCATGAGGCCAGGACTGGGAGGGAGGGGCCCACCTGTCACCACCCGCCGTCTCCCAGGCCCTGGGGCTCCTCTCCTGCACCACGCAGGAAGAGCGCCACCCAACTGTATCCCCCAGAAGAAGATGAGTCCTGGTCTCTCCCTGTGCTCCCATCCTGCAAAGGAGGAACTTTCTTGGGGAGATCATAGAGTGGACATGGGCAACTTTGTGAGCCTGGGTGCCCTGTGGGCAGCCCCTTGAACAAGCATCTGAAGGTGCCAGTAGGGTCAGATAGGCAGGTGGATAAGGGCTAGAGGAGGCCCCAGGGCAATGCTGAGGGAGAGAGGAGGTGATAGGCGCCTGGGAATGCCAGCCTAGGTTGGGCAGGGCAGCTGCTGCCATTGGAGATGTAGGAGGTGGGGAATCCAACCAGGAGCTTCCAAAGCATCTGTGACACGGCCCTGGGGGAGGGGGTAGAGGGGAGCCTGGTGCCTGGGCCTGGCTGAGGCTGTGCCATTCACAAGGTGCATGAGATAAGCTGGAGGGGGTGGGGGTGGGGGGCTTCAGCCAGAAAAAAACTTGTGAGGACCAAAGAAGTAGGCTCTGTCAGGGTCCAGGACAAAAAGGCAGCACATATGGAGCAGGCAGGCCCTGCCTCTGACAAGCTAGAGGAATCACCTCCCAGGTCACAAACATTAGTTGAGCACCTACATGAGCCAGCCTGAGTCTGGGAACCAGGAACACAGAGGTGGATAAAATAGACACAGTTCTTAACTCTGGGGAGGTCGAAGTGTGGTTCGGACATAGACTTCAAGGGTGTGGCCTCAGGGCAGAGACTGGGCCACTCTCCCACCCTCCCTGGGAGGGGCCATGCCTCTGCCACTCCCCTCTGAGCCTCCTGTCTCTGCCTAGCAGCCAGGCCTCCTCCCTCTGTCCTGAGCCCAATCCCTGGGCAGCCCCTAGCCAGTCCTCTCCCTTGCTTGCATTATCTCTACAAACTGTCTGTTCTCCTGTCTGTCTGTCCCCACCAGGCTGCAGGAGGAGATCCAGCTGAAAGAAGAAGCAGAGAACAATTTGGCTGCCTTCCGAGCGGTGAGCTCTCTTTGCGCCCCCTCCGGTGCCAGCCTGTCCCCTCCGTCCCTTCTTGTGTGGCCCCTGTCTGCCTCTGCCCTTCCTGGGTAGTCAGTGGCCCTGCCCCTCTCTTGGCCTCTCCCAGGACGTGGATGCAGCCACTCTAGCTCGCATTGACCTGGAGCGCAGAATTGAGTCTCTCAACGAGGAGATAGCGTTCCTCAAGAAGGTCCACGAAGAGGTATGCCCTGGGTCCTCTGCCCTGATTCCTTGAGCCACAGGGGAAGCAGGTGGGAAGTCGGGCCGCGCGGGGGAGGTTCTGGGCTCTGGGTGGGGCCTGGTGGAGGACTGGCGGCCGGCTTCACCCTGCAGGAGATCCGCGAGCTACAGGCCCAGCTTCAGGAGCAGCAGGTCCAGGTGGAAATGGACATGTCCAAGCCAGACCTCACTGCTGCCCTCAGAGACATCCGGGCTCAGTATGAGACCATCGCAGCCAAGAACATCTCTGAAGCTGAAGAATGGTACAAGTCAAAGGTGGGTGACCTGGCCCAGGGATTCTGCCACCCCTGCCCCCTCCATCCCAGTTTGGAGGGGCTGCCACTAGCACCCTCTGTGGGGAGGAGGGTGGGTCAGGAGCCTCCACCAGGGCTCCTTGGCTCCTTCTCCCTTGCGTCCTCCTTGTCTCAGGGCCTCTCTCTCTGCCCTTAGGTGTCTGACCTGACCCAGGCGGCCAACAAGAACAATGACGCACTGCGCCAGGCCAAGCAGGAGATGATGGAGTACCGACACCAGATCCAGTCCTATACCTGTGAGATTGACGCCCTCAAGGGCACTGTGAGTCCCTGCCCACTTCGCCCAGCCCAACCCCCTTCTGCCTGCAACTCCTGCCCTCTCCCTGTGACTTTGGGTGTATCACTATACTTATCGAGACCCCATCTCCTCAAGGGTTAACACACAGAGAGGGTTCCCAGTGGGCTCTAAGGAATCAGAGAGTTGCTGGGGGGGTGTCCTGTGTTGGGGAGGGGACTCTGAACACAAATGCTCTCCCTTTGTCTGTTACATTCTCCAAATTTCCACATAAGACTTCATTTGAGCGCAGGGATCTGACGACTCCCGGACCTGACCCCGTTGAGGTGGCCCCAGCCCTGAGGCTGTGTCTCTCTTCATCCTGAGCCTCTTGTGTCCTCCTCCCTGGACAGCCTGTCCTTGACCTGGACTCCTCTCCCCGCAGAACGATTCCCTGATGAGACAGATGCGTGAGTTGGAGGACCGCTTTGCCAGCGAGGCCAGTGGCTATCAGGACAACATCGCGCGGCTGGAGGAGGAGATCCGACACCTTAAGGATGAGATGGCCCGCCACCTGCGCGAGTACCAGGACCTGCTAAATGTCAAGATGGCTCTAGATGTGGAGATTGCCACCTACCGGAAGCTGCTGGAGGGTGAAGAGAGCCGGTGAGGAAACAGGCAGGGACAGAGGTGGGGCCCTGGGCAGGCTGGGGGGCCCATTCCTGCCCAAGGGGGCTCTGGCCCACCTCCACAAGACCTGGGAACACATTGCTATAAGACGCTACAGCTCTACTAATTGCAGAGAATTAGCCAGGGCCACCTGAGCAAATCGCGATTTAATTAATAGCTTTTATAAAAAGAAAAATGTAAGTATTCCCTCATCCACCTTCAAAATTAAGAACCACCGGCAGGAAACCATATTCAGTAACCAGTAATGAAACATTACTGACAGTCAAAAGAGAGATGAGAGCAGAGTGAAAGGGGAAAAGGAGGGGGCAGAGAGAGACAGAGAGAGGTAGAGAGAGAGAAGGAAGCTTTGTACATGGATAGCTAAGAGAAGGGGTGAGGGAACTGTGCACCGAGGGCACACACACAGACACACATGCGCACACGCACGTAGGAAAGACACAGTGACATGCTTGGAGCATTTCACCTCTACACACAGAAAACAGCACACAACCGGAAGGGGACATGACAGAACTTCGGGGGTGATAGGAATATTCTGTATCTTGACTGGATGTGGTAGTCGCATGGATATAGAGATTTATCAAAACTCGTTGGAATGTGTGCTGAAGATCTGCATTTCACTGAAGGTAAATTTAACCTCACTTTACCACAGGCCAAGTACTCCACAAAATAGTGCCATTGATACTAATAAACTTACACTACACTATGATATGGGAGCTCTGGTAGCATAGTGGCTAAGACATTTGCCTGCTAACCAGACGGCTGGCGGTTCAAACCCACCAGCCACTCCTCGGAAGGAAGGTTGGGCAATCCTACTTCCGTAGTGATACTGCCTCGGAAACCCAAGGAGGGGTCGCTATGAGTTGGGGCCGACTCGACGGCACATAACAACAACAACAACACACTATGATATAGTCAGCAGGCATGTTTGGAACTTGCCTTCACATGGGTACCTGAGGCTCACAGTCTGGCTGGAGGGTGGGTATCACAGTGGTCATTACCCACCCACAGCTGCTGGTGATACTTCCTGCAATGCCAGCAACAAGAAGATGCTGGTGAACTGGAGGGTACGGTGGGGGGGGGGTTGGGGGTCCTGGCATCATGCCAGCAGGTCAGAGGTGGCATCTGTGATCCTCCCAAAAGGGATAGTTCCCAGGAAAGCTGGAGTTGGCCTTTGACCCTGTTCTCTCAAGTGTCTGCGGTGGGAGTGTTGGACATGGGACAGCTGAGGGTGGATGGTGTTTAGGGAGAGCCCCGATGGATAGTCATGGGGAGATGGGAGGGTCCCTAACTCTTTCAGGGCTTTGTCTGTCCCCTTTCAGAATCAACCTCCCTATCCAGACCTTCTCTGCCCTGAACTTCCGAGGTGAGTGGGTGCTGGGAAGGGGAGGCTGGGGTGACAGGGGAGGATTTCAGTACAGGTACTGTTTCAGGCCAGCTAGGAGGGGAGGATGGAACCGCGGGGTCGGGGCTGGGGTCCAGGGGAGAACACGGGGCTCTTGTGTGTGGGTGAGGGATAATCCGAAATTGTCTCAACTGCATATGGTTACACGAAATATGTAGAGGCAAGTGAGGTCCCTGGGTGGCTCAAACAGTTTGTGTTTGACCGCTAAGGTGAAGGTTGGTGGCTCAATCCACCCAGAAGAACCGAGGAAGAAAGGCCTGGAGATCTCCTTCCATTAAGATTGTAGCCAAGGAAAGCCTACGGGGCAGTCCTGCTCTGTAACACATGGGGTCACCAGGAGTCGAAATCAACTAGGCAGCAAACGACAGCAGAGGCTAACAGTTCTTCTTTCTATGGTCCTCACCTTCGGGTGTACCGGGCGTCAGGAAACAGCCCCTGTTCTGTATCCACAACTCCAAAGGCACCGAGTGTCCTTGGGGACCTGGCAGCAGGAACATCTAGAATCATTTTCCCTGGGCTGAGAGGCACCTCCCGCACCCACTGTTTGCTGGCATGTTACCAAGTGTCCCCCCCTACCCCGGCTGTTTATTGAACACCTCCAGTTTGATGGAGCAAGATGTTGGATGCACGTTTTAAAGAATGAAGCCAAACCTTAGCAAAGCCAAACAATTAAAAGGACGAGCTCTTAGGGCACTCTGCCACTCCTGACATTAGTAATATGCACATCGAGTGGCTTTCCAACCCCGGAGAGCAGAAAAACGCGCTGTAATGATACATTAGAGAAGGCCAGCCGCAGTCCTTGGCAGCTTCGCCTTTCCTAGATCAAATCTGTTCTATCTTCGATGTTCATTTCCATCAGGAAAAAATACCCGCTGTGCTCGGCCAAGCTACAACGTTCATCACAGGCTTGTTGCTTGTGAAGGAGATTCATAAACACCAAACTCATAATACCAGGGACCTAAATTGACCCTCCCTGTAAAACTCAGAACACCTCTTTTCAGTTAGTTGTTTATACAGACTCAATAAGTGAATGTTGCATTTAAAACTGCTTCCTGCTTTTTCCCACCAAACGGCTCTGTGGCCTTGACAGGGCAGATACACTGTTACCCCTTCACGGATGAGGAAACAGAGGCACAGAGGGGCAAGTGGCTGGCCATTGGCACAGCAAAGCAGTGCCTGACTTCTGGTTGTTTCTTTCGTTAAGATGTTAGGTTCCTGAGTCCTAAGTGGGGTACTCTAAGATACTCTAAAAGTGTATTGAGACTGAGCTTGGTGGCCTCTGACAGTCTTGGGGAGGGGAGTCCTGGGTTCAAATTCAGGCAGGACACCCGTGGAGTATAGAAGTGGAGAAGGAGCGAGAAGGCATGGGGATGTAAATGAACCAGGTAGTACTTGGAGCAAATCTGCTTGCTCCTGAGCCCATCTCAATGGTGGGACTGGCCCCAGGTCTGGGAACCCACCTGGTGGGTGTCAGCTCAAGGACAGGTGATCAAGTATAGTTGAAGAAGTAACAGACCCGTCTTAAGGGGGATGGGAAGTTACCTGGGCTGTGCCCGATGAGACCAGGGGTGGACTCACAGCCCCCAGGCACAGTCCAGGACTGGGTGGGGAGAGCTGGCGCCCTCTGCAGCTCGGTCAGGCTGAGTATGGTTGGATCTGTTACAGAAACAAGCCCTGAGCAAAGAGGCTCTGAGGTCCACACCAAGAAGACAGTGATGATCAAGACCATCGAGACCCGGGACGGGGAGGTCAGTGTCTGTCGCATCCCCTTACCCTTTGTGGGGGTAAACAGTGTGTCGGGGATTGTCAGCCAAGTGCCTTCCACCAGCCCTGCTGAGGTGGGGGCAGGGGGCCCTGGTGCTGTGGGCTGGGGGCAGGCGCAGGGCTGGAAGCTCCAGGGCTAACTGGGTCTCTCTTCCCCCAGGTCGTCAGTGAGGCCACACAGCAGCAACATGAGGTGCTCTAAAGCCAGAGACCCAGCTGTCCCAGAGACCGTCCTTGCCCATCCTCACTGCCTCCCGAAGCCAGCCTCCTCCTGTCCTAGGGCGCCACACCCAGCCACAACCGTCACAGCCTCTGATACCTCCTCACCCACCTACTCATAGTCCCCACAGGGGACATGGCCCCACCTTGCCCAACCACAGGGCTTCCCCCCACCCCCCGCCCCGTCACCTCTGCTGACCCCAGCCATGAGAGTCCTGGATATTGGAGTGAGTGAGCCTGACTGCCCTTCCCTCCCAACCCTGGGGTGGGGTGGCCCTGCTCCAGTTAGTGTCCTGGGCCAGGCCGAGATGGAGCTGAGGGGAGAGTGGTAACCCTGCCTCCCCACCTCCATGAGCTCAGGCTCTAGCCTTTGGCTTTGGAGAGGGCCCCTGAGTGGATGTTGGGACACCCCCGGGTCAGGATTGAGCCCTGTGGGCCCTTACCCTCCCCAGCCTGGGAGGAGGGGTGGCCTTCTCCAGAAGCCAGGCAGGTAACCAAGGAAACCAGCCCGCTGGGGAGACTGAGGGCCTTGAAACTGTCCCCATAGTCCCTTTCCTTTTCCCCTTTCCACCCTTGCCTAGGGTGGGCTTACAAAGCAGGAATTGCAAGAGGGAACCCCCGAAGGTGTCGGATGTGGGAGCAGGAGATGCAAAAGGAGAGAGGGTGGGTGAGTCGCTGGAGAGGAGAGAACAGGAGAGAGGCAGGAGCGGTCTCAGGCAATGGGAAGGTGCCTGCTGCCCACCACTGCCAGGCTCTGGGCAGAAACAATAAAAAGAAGCACAAGCCTAGCTGCCCCTACTGTCTTGAGTGCTGGGTCTCCTGGAGGACCCCAGGGCCCTGAGAACACCTGGGGGATGGACTGTGTGCTCCCCTCCTGCACAGCCAGGCTGTCGTCAAGGTCTCATACCTTCCTACACCCAGAGTCCCCAGCCTTACTACGTGTGTGTAGCACATGGAGGGTGGGGTATTGCTGGAGAGGGGGGTTTTGGTTGGGGAGCTACAAATACTTTCTGTTAGGCTTTAGTTCCTGGGCTAGTCCACCCTCCATCAGCAGGGACCTCACCTGCTCCCTTTTAGAAGGATGCCACTGTTCCCCACTGACTGACTCTGAAGTAGGGCTCCCCCAAAGAAGCTTACAACCTCTGTCCATTAAACCTGCCTTGAGCACCATTTTTGCCCAAAGGTCAATTTGGGGAAACTAGCAACATTAGGGAAAATGAAAAGATCTATCTTATTCTTGGATAAGAAGGCTCATATTCTGAAGATGTCAATTCTTCCTGTGTAAAGCTATCATTTCAATGCAATATAATCTCAATTAAAACACCAGCAGGAAACTTGAGGAGGATTTGAAAATACAATACTGGTTTGTCGGAGAGGATGGTGGAGACAAATGAAAAAGAAAAAAAGACAAATTAAATCATGGACTAAAACATTAAGGTATATTATGAGGCTATGACAGTTAAACAGCTTTGTTCATGAAAAAGAAATACACAAACATAAATGGGATAAAATAGACCCGATACGGAGAAGACCCAGTGTATATGAAAGGGGGTATTTCAGATCTGTGGGGAACCTTTTCAGTATAAAATTTGGTGGCAACTGGAAAGCCATAGGGGCAGACGAAGGTGAAGACTATCTCTTTTCACTGTTTCCAAAGGATAATTTCCAGATGGATCAAAGATTTAGGAAGCTTGATGGATCCATGTAAGCCTTAACCTTCAAACCTCTCATAGATTAAAGGGATTATCTTTTTAAAGGAGGTGGGAAGAAGGTAGAGATCATAAGGGTAATAGACCATCTATAGGTGGAATAAACCTAGTGATGCTTTAGTCTTGAGGTCCCTAGTCTGACATTCCAAACTGACTTTTCCAGAATCCACCAAAAGCCCTCAGCTGTGTCTGGTGTGTCTGTCTCTCTCCCCTTCCATCCTGTGGCCCTTGATCAGTTATGTACATCCCTTTCTCTAAGAAGGCTCCTTCTCCAAGGTATTCTTCCCCTCTGCCCTGGAAGGAGCTGGAGGGAACACCCTAGGTCCCCACCTTCTGCCACCAATGGTCATTTCTTTCCCCCAATGGCTCAATGGGGTGAACCCCACTGGCCCCGTTAACCTGCAGAGAAGCTCCAAAGGCCCTCCCAAGATAGGAAACCGGAAGCAGCAATTCCAGTGTCTTCACACTAGGAGGGCTGGGTGAGAGGCTTCTTCTGTCCCCTCCTACCCTTGAGCCTGTTGGGGTCCCTGGGGTTGGAGTTAGCCTCTCTGAGAGAGACACCTGGGTGGGGTTGGGCCCAGGTGAATAAGAGGTTAAGTGTGTGTCTCTGAGTCATTTGTGAGCCTCTTGGCTCCTCTTTTCCCAAGTGAGTTATGTGTACTCATCTCCCCCACAAACGATAAAAGGACACATTGGACAGGGAAGGCTTTGGAAGCAGCCCCACCCTCCAAAAAAAGCTTCGGTTCAGACAAGTCACTAAGCAAGGAGCACTGGCGGCACACTAGTTAAAGCACTGGGCTGCCACCTGAAAGGTCAGTGGTTTGAACCCACCAGCTGCAAGAGAAAGATGTGGCAGTCTGCTTCTGTAAAGATTTATAGCCTTGGAAACCCTACGGGGCAGTTCTACTCTGTCCTATAGGGTCACTATGAGTCGACAGCAGTGGGTTTTTAGTCCCTACGCCGGAAGGAGTGTAGGCATCTGTGATGCTGAGTGGGGCTTCTGCAGTCACTGCAGACAATGACCTTAACGCTGCAGAAATCCCCTCCCAGCCTCGCCCCCAGCATCCGTGACAAGCAGCCGTCAAGCTCTGCTTACTCGTTCCAGAGTCAGAGAACTCATTACTTCCGTGGAGGGCCCTTCCAGCTGGTGACAACTCTGATAGTCAGAAAGTCCTTCCGTCTCTAGCACACACTGTCCCCTATGACTACTACTACTTGTCCTCAGAGGAGATAGAAGATCAGACCTCCCAAGGTCCGCCACCCCCACCCCCCAGGGAAATGTTCTGTGAACAGAGCCTTCCTGGGACTAGAAATTCCAATTCTAAACCCTCTCCTTGGAAGCTGGGCAGTGACCAGGAATCCAGGGCAGGGGAGGTGGATATGGGGTCCAAAGAGAACAGACAGAAAAAAGAGATCTGACTCTCACAATCACACACATACAACCAGACTGATACCCTCAGCCCCCCCATACACACACCCATCCCCACCATGGCCAAACTTCTCCCTGCTCCATAGGACAATCTGGTGTCTCCTCTCCCAAGACTGAACATCCGGAGAGAATGTGGCTGGAAGAGGGCTGACCCGCTTCCCACTGGCCCCAAGGGACCAGGCCCAGACCAGCTTAGACCCCAGCTGAAGGAGCAGAGCAGGGACTGTGGAGGCAGAAGGGCCCCCAAGCCAGAACTGAGAGCACAGAGGCCTCCCCTTCGTTTCCTGGCCCTTGGCACAATTCCTCCTTTGCCCCTCCCTATTTCCTCTTAACACAAGCTTGCCAAGGATACATATGCAAATGCATTAATGACCACTGGTTGGGCCCCTAAAATGTCAGCTACTCAGAAGCAGGGATTTTTATCTGTTTTGTTCACTACTCTACCTGGGTGCCCCAGAAGAGTGCCTGATTTGCTGTGGTTTTAGGTGCCTGGTACATAATAAAGGGAAAGAAAACACAAAACCTTTTGCTGGCGAATTGATTCTGACTCCTGGGGACCCGCATGTGTTTCAGAATAGAACTTCACAGGATTATCAGTACCTGTAATGTTACGGAAGTAGATCACCGGGCCTTTCTTTGCAACTGAGGGTGGTTCGAACCGCCAGCCTTTTGATTAGTAGCATCAAACCGTTTGAGCCACCCAGAGACTTTGGTAGGTAGAAGGTGCTGATTAAATATTTAAATAATTAAATATTTATTGAGTGAATACCCACTAGACTACTTTTACTTACCTGTCACTGAATTTCATATTCATAAGGTAAATTTAATATTCATGATGACTCCCACTTTATTAATTGCTTCAACAAACATTTACTGAGCTTTTACCATGTGCCAGCCACATAGCACATCAATATGACTCGGAGGAAACTCCTCATGGCCCAGAGAGGTGGGGTGGCCTACCAAGGTCACACAGCATATCTATGGCAGAAGAGGACCCAGCCCCAGGCTCCTTGGCTTCTGGAGCCCAGATCTCTTTCCATGACACCACAGCTTGTGATTGTAAGGCAGGCAGGCTGGCAGTACACACAGCTAGCCCGGTGCCAGGCCACAGGGCACTGTGGGGCCCAGGCTGAGGGACAGACAGCACCTTGCAGCCAGCTGCCCTGAGCAACAGGGCAGGGCCCTGACTTCTGGCTATTGCGGCCGGTATGGGCTTCTCCAGAAGAGGGCATCAGGGACTCACAGGGACCTGTGCCCTTCCCACCAGGCCCTCAGCCCCCAGCGTGCACATCAGTGAATGCCCCAGTATGGACATACAGAGCCGGCGATGTTCCAGGCTCTGTGCCAGGGCCTTTTAAATTGTTAATATTCATTTTAATATTTAATATAATAATTTAATGCCATCACAACAACGTAAGTCAGATCATGTAATTCTCTGCTCTAAACCTTCTGAAATAACTTCTCATTTCACTCTGAATAAAAGCACCACAGCCTACAAGATGTTAGGTGACCTGGCCCCTGCTTCCTGGCTGACCTCACCTCCCCCCCTTATCCCCCTGACTCCCACCAGCCTCCAGGTCTTTTTGGCTCTTCTTGGAGTTCACTGGGTACACTCCCACTACTGCTTGAAGCTGTGCCCCCCCTCCCCAAGACCTCTGCGAAATTTCCTTTTTCTCCTCACCCCTTCAAGCCTGGCTCAAATATTCCCAGGAGGGTTGGCTCCAGCTACCCTATTAAATAGTCCCTCAGTGCCTAAGGCACTTGACTGCTAACCAGAAGGCTAGCGGTTCAAACCCACCAGCCACTCCTCGGAAGGAAGATTGGGCAATCTACTTCCGTAGAGATAGCGTCTCAGAAAACCAAGGAGGGATTGCTATGAGTCGGGTCTGACTCAATGGCACATAACAACAACAGAACAACACTAGGCACATAGCAGGAATTCAAAATTGTTTGTTGAATGAATGAATAAATTCTAAGTTGGGCTACCCCTATTTGATAGATGAGGATAGTGAGGCTTAGAGATATTAAGTGAATTACCCAAGATCATACAGTTCATTTATTCAACCAATTAACCAGCCAACATTTACATAGCTTCTACTGTTTTCCAAGCCAGTAGAGCTCAGTGGTGTCGGGTCGTTGGAATCTGTTTGTAATGCCTTCTCCTATGTTTTCACCTGTTGCAATTCAATTCCTCACTAGTGTTTGCCAGGGGTTGGAGGAGGGGGGTCTGGCTGACTACAAAGGGTATGTATAAGTGAATACTCAGGGTGTTAGAACAGTTCCATTGAGTGCTGGGGTAGTGGCCATGCGGTTCCATGCCTTTCTCCAAACCCAGGCACTGTACATCACAAACAGTGAGCTTTAATGTATGTAAACTACAAAACAATTCAATCCGTTCCTTAAAAGTTCTGATCCCTGTGGACATAATTTATTGTTTAAATTCTTTCTTCTGTGCCTTCTCCTACACGTGTACTTTGACATCTCCAAGACTGAGGTTGGGGGATGAGGAGACAAGATTAAGAATTACTTTCATCTCTGAATGACTCATGGTTTGGCTCCTCTTAGTTCTTTCCACATCTTGGCCCTGGGCATCACCCCTCAGGGCTCAAGGTCAGGCCTGGGTCTTTCACCTGGACTTATAAAAATTGTCATTTTGAGGTAATTGTAGATCAACATGCAACTGTAAGAAATAATACAGAAAGAGCCTGGATACCCTTCATCCAGTTTCCCCCAGTGATGGCATCTTGCATATCTATAGTACAATATCACAGCCAGGAAGTTGATCTTGATACACAGACCCTACCTCGTTCGGATTTCACCAGGTTTATGTGTACTCATTAGTACGTGTGCACCTGCGTTGAGTACTGTGCAATCCTGTCACATGTAGATCCGCGTGTCCACCACCACAGTCAGGTTACAGAACAGCTCCAGCACAAAGACCTCACCTGGACTTTTAAAATCAGTAATGCCCTATCCTGATATTTCTCAAAGTGTAACCCTCTGGTGTATCAGAGTCACCTTGGCTGCTTATTAATTGTATGGATTCCTGGACCCTCGTTTTCCTTCCCCTTCCCCAATGAACCAGCATCTGTGGGATGGAGACTGGGATTTGTACTTGTAACAGGCATCACACTTTGAGAACCACTGTTCTAATCGCCCTCCAACTCTCCTACCTCCTGTCTACCCTCTCCACTGTGACCACCAGAAAGATCCTTCTAAAACACAAGTTTTTCCTCTGCTTAAAACCTCGTGGTGTCATCCACTGCCTTCAGGGTAGAAATAAGGCCAGAAAAGCTCTGTGGGTCAGGCCCCAGCTCCCTTTCCTCTACTTACTCTACAGCAAACCAAACCAGTGCCGCTGGTGTTCATTTGGACTCACAAGGACTGCTTGTATGTCAGAGTAGACTCTCCTCCATAAGGTTTTCAATGGTTGATTTTTTGGGATGTAGATTGCCAGGCCTTTCTTCCTAGGTGTCTTTAAAAAAAAGTGGGGTTTGGGTGAAGGTTTGCATAGCAAATTAGTTTTCCATTCAACAATCGACACACATTTTGCTTTGGAACCCTCGTTGCAATTCTCTCAATGTAACGGCAGTTCCCACTTCTTCCCTGGATTTCTCATTTCCATTCTCCGTCTTTCCTGCCCTTTCCCACCTTCTAAGCATTGTTTTTCGGCAAATGCTGCCCTTTTAGTCTCATATGGGTGATTATTCTGAGGAGCACGTTCCTCATTAGTGTTCATTTCATAGGCCTATGTTTTGGCTAAAAGGTGATCCCCAGGGGTGGGTTCAGTTCCAGGTTTGAAGGGTGTCTAAAGGCTCCAGTCTTGGGGGTTCCACCAGTCTCTATCAGATCAGTAGGTCTGGTCTTTTTTATGATTTTGAATTTTGTTCTACGTTTTTCTCCCATTCTTCTGTCCAGGAGCTTCTGTGGCCCCAATCAGAACGGCCAGGAATGGTAGCCAGGCATCATCTAGTTTTTTTGGTCTCAGGGTAGAGGAGGCTGTGGTTTGTCTTCCTACGCACCTCTTGGTAGATCAGAACTTCCAATCTTTCTGTTAGCAGCCAAGGGCATTAACCTTCTGCACCACCCAGGGACTCCTCACCCCAGCACACACACACACACAAAACCAAAGTAGCTGCCATCAAGCTGATTCTGACTCATGGTGACCCATGTGTTTCAGGGTAGAACTATGCATAGGTTTGTGACAGCTGTGAACTTTCCAAAGGAGGAAGTAGACCAGCAGGTCTTTTTGCTGAGGTGTCTCTGGGTGGATCCAACCACCAAGCTTTCACTTAGTAGCCAAGTGCTAACCATTTGTGCCTGTGATTTGATTATTCCATACTCACCTGATTCTCAGTACCCATCAGTCTCTGTTTCCTCTGTCTGGAATGTCCCTCCACTCTTCCCAGTCTGTTGAAACCCTATTAAGCCACCCATTTTTACAGATGAGGACACGGAGGTTGAGAGAGGTCAAATTGTCACGAAGCAAGTAAGAGTAGGACCAGCTGGAACCCGAATCCACCGGAGTCCCGACTCCTGGTCTTACTTTTCACCAAGCTGTCAGTCATGGAGGCTCCTTTGGGGCCCTCTTTCCAACCTGTCTGCTTAACTCCAAGTGGGCTTGCCTCTTCACCTTTCTGTCCAACTCCTGCCCACCCAGTTCACCTTCCTCTTCCTCTTCTCAGTGTAGAAAGCTGGGAATCAGGGCCTTGAGAGGAGCGAGGAAGGAAAACGAGATTGGGCTCAGAGGGTAACTCCGCTCCCGAGTGGGTCTGCTGGTGGGCTGGCGCACCACGCCAGGAGGAGGCCTGGAGCAAGTCCCCCCCCCCCCCCCCGGGCTCGCTTAAGCCCGGGCGGGCAATGGGGGTTCCTGGAGGGAGGGAAGAAGCGGAGCGGAGTCCAAGTCCCCTCCTCTGCTGCCCCCTCCCTCCACAGCTCCTTGCAACCCGAGCTGGGGGGCCTAAAAATAGCCCCCGAGGCGCAACCGCCGGCCGCCCTGGTGACCTTCTGGGTAGCACAGGCCGAAGGCGGGCGGGCGGCAGGAAGGCAGGGCGCCGGCCCCCCAGGACTCATCTCAGGGCACCATCCCCCGGGTGTCCCCGTGGCCGCCAGGTTCCAGCGTCCCCCCAGCCCAGCTTGCAGAAGCCATGCAGAAAGCCCGGGGCGCGCGAGACGAGGCAGCGGGTACGAGGGCACCCCCCAGCCCTGGGGTGCCCCCGAAGAGGGCCAAGGTGGGGGCCAGCGGAGGAGCCCCGGAGGCCGCGCCCGGGGCGCCGGTCTTCCTGCGGCCCCTGAAAAACGCGGCGGTGCTCGCGGGCAGCGACGTGAGGCTGCGGGTGGCGGTGAGCGGGACGCCCCAGCCCAGCCTCAGCTGGTTCCGGGACGGGCAGCTCCTGCCCCCGCCGGCCTTGGAGCCCAGCTGCCTGTGGCTGCGGAGCTGCGGGCCGCGGGACGCCGGCGTGTACAGCTGCAGGGCCCAGAACGCGCGGGGCGAGGCCTCCTGTGAGGCTGTTGTCACAGTGCTGGAGGTCGGAGGTAATGGAGAGGTGGGGGCACAGCCTGGGCGGGGGGTAGTCCAAGGTGAGGAGGGCGCCCCGGCCACGTGGGGCGGGGGCCACCGGCTCATCCAAGCCTTCTGCCAGGTGCCCTGGCTTCTGAGCTGCTGTGATCTGCAAGTGCAGACCAAGGGGACATTGCAGGGCAGGGGGTGTCAGGAAGACAGGCTCCCCAGCAAGGCTTAGAGGTCATGGTCAGCTCTTGGTAAGCAAAGCCCCAGCCCCACTCAGGCCCCCCTGGAAAGTCCAAAGTGGCAGCTCTCAAGTTCCCTGCAGAGAGAGGCCTCCTGGAGACTTTATCTTCTTCAACTCCAATAGTTTAAGATTGAAATTGCTGATCAGAAGGGTCATAGCTCTCCTGGCCCCAGCTGGGATGTTGAGGGGCTGGATCCAAGCTCCTGGCAGTCCGTAGCAGTGGCAGGGGTGGTGTGGTCAGCACCAGGCTGGCTGGCAGAGGCCAAAGGGGGAGCAAGTGTGATCAAGGTCTGGAGGAAGAGGTAGGCTTAGGAGCTCTGTGGGCTCTTACAGAGCAGGATGTTTGAGGAACCACATGCAGATATGTTGGGTGGGGGTGTGGAAGTGAGCTGTAGACTAGGTTATGGTAGAACAAGCAGAGAGGGACAGGGTTTGTGGGTTTGGTGTGGGAAGCCTGTGGGCCATGTCTACCTGAAGTTCAGGAGTAGACATTCAGAGGGTGTGGAAGGGAGGATACTGACCACCAGTCCTTGGGTCCCTGATCTTGCAGGGAGAGTTGCAGGCTGGTATGTGAGGGGATGGTGATGGTCAGAGGCAGAAGAGGAGGGCCACGAGCCTGGGCCCCATACTCATGGTTCTGCTGGGCTTGGCATGAGTACTGGGCCAGGGCCAATTCTCCTTGCGTCCATTTTTAAGCTTCCCTTTTTATTTCCTAAGCTCCTAAGTCAACCAAATGGTTCTTCTCTAGGCCAAAGAGAGAGTCTTGAGAAACAGAAATCTGCAGCAATGCATTAGGTATGTCGGCAGCTGCAACAGAAATGGGACGCTTGTTAGGTGCCATTGAGTTGATTACAACTCACAGCAATGCTGTGTTCAACAGAACAAAGCATTGGCCAGTCCTGCACCGTCTTCACAACTGTTGCTATGTTTGAGCCCATTGCTGCAGCCACCGTGTCGATCTATCTTGTTGAAGGTCTTCCTCTTGAAGACCCTCTGCTTTACTGAGCGTGAAGTCCTTCTCTAGGGCCTGGTCCCTGCTGATTTAGGAGGCTAGACGTCCGTATTCAGGGCACCAGCTCTTTCTATTGGCTCTAGGGGAGATCCTTGTCTCCTTTCAACATCTGTGGGCCCAGTGTCCTTTGGAGGTCTCCATGCATCTTGGCATCAGTCTTCCCCGGCATCTATGAGGTTCTCAGTGCAGGGACCCACCACTCCTGGCTCATCTTTCTGGGTGGTGGTCATGTTCCTCCTCTGCTCACTTCTCTCTCCTTTTGTTTTTTGTAAGATAAAAGGTGATGTAGGCCACATCCCAGGGACACTCCCCTTACATTGTACCAAGGCTGTGACCTGTGTAAAGGTGTTGAATCCCACCCTAATCCCCTTATAATTTATTGGCTGATCACATCAGATCACATTGTGGGGGATGATCACATCATCACATAACTGCCAAGCCACTGAGAATCATGGTCCAGGCAAGTTGACACATATTTTGGGGAGACTTAATTTAATCCATGACATCCCATGCTTTGGCCCTCAAAAATTTACATCTTTGTCAGATGCAAAACATTTTTCTACACCATCATATTACACCAGAAGTCTTAACTCCAAGTCCAAATTCCATCCTCGGGCAAAATTCCTCTTGATCTGTGTGTGCATTTAAAATACGAATTATCTACTTCCAAAGTACAATGGTGGAACAGACACAAGGAAGACATTTCCATTACAAACGGGAGAAATTACAGGGAAAGAAAGGCTAACGGGTGCCAAGCAAGTGAAAAACCCAGCAGAACAATTTACGTTAGCTCTCAAGGCTTGAAAATAACCCTTTTTTCTCTGAGACCATCTGCGCAATGGCCTTGCCCTCCAGACTCCAGGTTGTGGCCACCGCTGTCTTGGATTCTGGGTGGAGGCCTTTTGACCTGGGGCTTCAGCTCTGCCTTCCAGGTTCACTGGAATGGCAATTTGCTTCCTTGGCTTTGTTTTGGGTGGCCCCATTCTCCTAGTCTGACTGAGTGGTGACCCTACCCCCTTAGCCCTGCCAGGCCCCGTTCTTCTGCCCCTTGGGCATGACAGCCCTGCCCCTGCAGCTTTAGACAGCTGCTTCAGCCCTATCCCCTTGGCACTCAGGAATGGCCAACCCACACTGCAGAACCGAGTTGGTGAAAATCTAACTTGGAAACGTAGGAGGCTGTGGCCTCACCCTTTGAGACTGAGGCAGCTCTGCTTCCCATGCTCCTTGTCTCTTTAGCTTCTGCTTCCTGTTCCTGTTTCTCAGTCCCTGCCCCCTTGGGCCAGCCTGGGCTCTGCCCTGTTCTAGGAAAACTATCCTTACATCAGATCAGGGCTGTGGCCTGAGTAAGGGTGTTGCATCCCAACCTAATCCCTTACATCTGATTGGCCGATCACATTAGATCACATCATGAGGATGATTACATTATTACGTAACTGCCAAATTACATCATTACATAATTACATCATTATACCACTGAGAATCATGGCCCAGCCAGGTTGACACATATTTTGGGAGGACACAATTTAATCTATGACAGGCAGTAAGCTGCAATTGAAGGAGCCCTGGTGGTACAGTGGTTAAGCACTTGGCTGCTAACCAAAAGATCAGTGGTTCAAACCTACCAGCCTGTCTGCAGGAGAAAGATGTGGCCATCTGCTTCCATAAAGATTTATAGCCTACTCCGTTGTATAGGGTTGCTATGGGTCAGAGTTTGGTTTGGGGTTAAGCTGCAGTGGAGGGAGGTGGCAAATAGCTGAGGGGCCATTGAGTCTGTCCTGCGCATTTTCAAGTCATCCAGAAAAGCATCCCCAAGTAGCTGTTGAGAAGGGGGACTTCTCACTCCAACTCGGTGGGATCATTTAGGGGTAACTCCTAAGGGGCAGGGAAGAGGAAAAGGAAGACATCCGCAGCTGGAGGGAAAGGAGGCCCTAAGGTGTCCGACTCGACAGCACATAACAACAACAACAACAACAACAACAACAAGGGTGCAAACAGGTCAGGAGATAAATCAAGGGCTCAGCTTCTCTCTGGTACCGTCTCTTCTGTCCCTCAGCCTGCCCTGCCCACCTCCTAGAGTCTCCAATGACTGGTTCCTTGGGTTCTTGTGGCTAGGCCTGGGCCAGAGAGGGGCAGTGAGGGGCAAGGCTGGCTTTTCCTGGTTGGTCCGGTACCTGCCAAGGCACAGGTTTCCCCATGCTGGAAGTGGGGTTGGGGCTAGAGTGCATCCTGAAAGAGCTCTGATTTGGGAAAGGAGTGGACTTTGGGGGGATGTTAGCTCTAGGCTTCTCGGGAACACTGAGAGGTGGGAAGTTTGAGTCCACCCACGGCACCTCAGAAAAAAGACCTGGAGATTGACTCCCCCAAAAATCGGCCACTGCAAACCCCACGGAACACAGTTCTATTCTGACACACATGGGGTTGCCATGAGTTGGAGTTGAGTCAGTGGCAACTGGTCATGGTAGCTCTGGGCCTGGCAGAGACAAAGAGGCTGGAAACAGAGTGTAAATCTAAGGGCAAGAGAAATAGAATGATGAGAATATGAATAGGAGGAAAGAGGGATCAGGGAAGGGAAGGGCAGTGTTCATTTAAAGATGGGAAATGCTACAGAGAACTGCTATAGCAAACACTCCCTTTACAGGTGAGGACACTGTGGTCCAGAGGGGAGGGAGGCCTGCTAAAGACATACAGCAAGTTATGGCCGTCTCACAACTGAGAACCCAGTCCTCCTGGTTTGGACTCTGGGTGACATTTACTACTGAGGAAGTTTGGGACGAAGGATGAAGAGGGGAAGGAAAGAGGAGCTGCCCAGTGTGTGCGGAGCAGCCGCTACAAGAGGCCCAGGCCTGGCTTTTCTGAGGATGAGAGCCTCCTGGCCTGCCCTGGTCTCCGAAAGTGGGGAGAGTGGTGGGGTGCTACAGTCCCTCAGCGGGGCAGTTTCCTCAGCTCCTCTGTAATGGGGGTGGCGTGGTCGGCAGAGCTGGACCCTGGTTGGAGGCCAGGGCCACCTACACAGTCTCTAGGCTGAGCTGTCCTACTGGAACAGCAGGCTTGAGAGACATGGGGGTGCTATGGGGCTGGATTTGGGGCTTTTTGGCATTCATGTTAAACAGAATGCCTGTGATTTGGCTCACCTGTGAGTAGGAAGAAGGTTGCATTATGGCAAACCACCTTTGAGAACTTTTTCCTACCAGTGAAATCCTTACCCTAAGAACAGCCTTATGATTATGAATTGATAGTAATTCTTAATAGTAATTTGTAATAATAATAATAATACAGATAGCTGCTATTCTACTATGTGGCAGGCTATATGCTCACACTTACTATCATTTGATATATCATTTAAGACCCACAGCAACTCTGGGGAAACTGAGGCCCAGAGGGATTAAATGACTTGTCTTAGTTGTGGAAAGGGAGCTCTGTGGCCACCGCTGTCTTGGATTCTGGGTGGAGGCCTTTTGACCTGGGGCTTCTTGACTGCCAACCAGAAGGCTGGTGGTTCAAACCCACCAGCCACTCCTCGGAAGGAAGATGGGGCGATCTACATCCGTAGTGATACTGCCTCAGACACCCAAGGAGGGGTTGCTATGAATCGGGTCCGACTCAACGGCACATAACAACAACAGTTGTGCAAAGGGCCCCTGAGTGGCACAAATGATTAAATGCTCAACTACTAGCCAAAAGCCTGGGAGTTCAAACCTACCTGGAGGTGCCTCAGAAGACAGGCCTGGCAGTCAGTCTGCTTCTGGAAGGTCACGACCTTGAAAACCCTATGG